GGTGGCATTCTTAGCTTGTCAGGAACCAAAGCCGTGTACTGAAAAAGAAATGCTTAATTGAAAATGTACTAATTGCGTTACTGACTGCAACGATTACGTTATACGGAACTGCATTTAATTCATACCGAGAACTGCTCTATCTCTATCACAGGAAGCATGATGCCAGCAGGAAGCTCGAAATACTTCGCCTTCAAAATTTTCAATTAACTAGATTAAATATAATTTATGGAAATAAATATGGCATACACTTGGAATAAGATCTTCTTCATTGAATGGATGTCCATCGATGTCATCACCGTCAGGCACTCCTTCTGTAACAACGCTGTCTTAATATTTAATAATGTAATACATTTGCTCAATATTCTTTTCCAGGAACCTGAGGAAATCATGCTCTGGAGGTGTACACCTCGAGCTCCACTAACGTACACCAAACCGAAACAGTGAATTAGGAAATATAAAAAATCAGCGGAATGTGCCGAACAGTAAAGAGAGATTAGAGAAACTGCGAGAAAGAATAGATAGGCATTATTTGGCTCTGCCAAACGTTTAGAAAGAAATGCTCACGGGCCGTTAGTATCTATTCTTTTTTTACAGACCTTCTATAAGGAACGCAGCTTCTGTGGACGGATAGGTTGCAAGAAAGCATTCCACTAATACACCTCTCTGTAGTTTTGTATAATGCTGAGCAACTACCGCCAGTATCTTGCACTTCACGTATTGAGCAGCTGTAATACATGAAGCCCCTGATGCGCGTAAAACGCAGAGATGAAGTAGTTGAAGCCACTTTAATACACTGCAGAGGAATGTTCTTCGAGAGGAAGACCCTTATTGTTGGGATGCCGCTACCATGCAACACTGCAATATGCGACTTAGTTTGCGACTCATTTATGTTCTGATCCGCTAAACGATTCTTTGGGGTACACATCCCATATATTTCTACTAAAACTAACAATCCACCAAGAATGATAGCTTGATGGTTCAACGCATTCACCCGGGGCATACGTAAGATAAGTTCTTGAAATGATGCCGCCGGCACGACCTTGCAATATCATAAGAATATAATCACCAATTGGCGCACGGGCGGACGTCAAACAACCGAAAAGAGCACGATTAAGCTTGAACGTAAAGACCTCAATGAAGTTGAACATACATCCACAACTTTGAAATATCGCGTCATTTTGTTATTTGAACGTACCGTTAAATAGTCAGTTAAAGCAACAGTCCCACATGGAACAGTGTCAAGAATTTGTTTACTTAACGGAGTGGAGTATCTCTCGTGATAGATGTGGAGTAGATGTGGTGTTGCCGCAGCTCAAGAAAGCGCGACAAGGGCATTAGGGCCTTGCGGAATCTGATGGCGACTAACGTGAACACGGACGAGATACCTCGCGGTTGCCCTCACGCAACGTGAATTACAACGTAGCGGATAAGGTAGCCCATAGGCAGATAGATATGGTAACTTCACCGCATGTGGTTGGGTTCAAAAACTCGTCCAGACACGTCCTTACGCCTTCATTATTGGTATCACCATTATCCCACCAATTCGGAGTGAGGTTGTTGCCTAAAGGTTATACCCGCCATGAAAATTATGCGAGTGATACAAACACGTAAGCCAGGTGATTTTTCCTCGCAGTCTCAGGTGGAATATTAATTCTATCTCACCACTGAGCTCCGAAAATGGATTAATGAATAAACTGACCCACCTTTTCTAGGTAGACTCGAAATCTCAGATTTGGCTGAGCTAACCTGATACTTTGACCCTCTGAGCACGACTAACGCAACTCCTTATAGGGAAAAAATGTTGGTCTGGTGTCAAAGTTCGCGATCCGTCGTGCGACTAGTCACAGAAATCACAGGTGCCCCGATCAATACTGAGGTGCTCTCCGCGCATCCCGCTGCTGATTCCTTCCCAAGCTTGGGGAAAGACAGTGTCACAGAACCCGCCATTGAACACGTGGCGTTTTAGTAGCGCTTCGCTGTTGAGGCACTCCTTTCTCTGAGAAGTCGCGCTGTTCGGAGTCTAGACATGGTATGGCTGGTTCTACGACGTAACCCTGTCTCCCCAAATATAGGATAGGATCAGCGGCGGACGCGCCCTCCTGGAGGAAAGATAGATATGGCTCCTGGGGCGTACGCTACAGACAACATGAGCAACCACGGACAGTATCGCAAAAACCTGACAAAATGTAGTTTACCACACAACTAACTATGGAAGAAAACTGATGAAAAAAAACTTTCTGAAAAGCCTTTCTCATTACGTCGCTGAGAAAAAGTAGAAGAGCAAACTAGCAAAGATATCGATTTCGTCACTTCGTCTGTGTGGATCCGAACCAGAACCACTGCGACCTTCCCCATCAGACAGGGGTCAGATTCCGCGTTTGCAACAGTGATCATGCAATGCTATCTCATGGCCCGATTCAAGAAATCGTTGTACAGCTTGGAAGGTAAATTTTGAGCAGCGTTCTAGGACGTGTATAAAAGTTTACAGCTTGTTTTAAACAGCACGTCGCCTTGTGGTCTTTCCGTTTTGAGAATTTCACCGTTTCCTCGTCACAGTGCATAAATTTGCAGCACTCACGTAGCACTATCAGATTCACGACGGTAGGTGCTTACTAGTGGAAATGGCACAATTTTTTATGCCTCAAAAATAAACGCTAAACTTAACAACCATTTACAACACAAAATTCAAGCAAAGTTGGCCGCCACTGGATGAGAAAAAACAAAAACAGATGAATAATTGTTCGCTTACTAGTGGGCTGTGACGATGAAGCTGGTTCGTTGTGGAGACGGGACGAATTCGAGGATACTGAATCCTCTGCATAATACGCTGCATGTGGGGTCTTCTTCCATCCTGTATTGAACATTGCTATTGAGGATCATGATAAGGAAAGTCAGAGCCACGGCTGTCTTTTTTCTACTGTTCTTGGATGAGGAAATAAAAAATCGAGCGTACGTGCAAGTTGCGGCAAGAGACCTCAGAAGCATTTTTTTCGAGCTCTACCTTTGACAATAGTGGGCACGTCAATGGAAGACCCACATGCAGCGTATTATGCAGAGGATTCAGTATCCTCGAATTCGTCCCGTCTCCACAACGAACCAGCTTCATCGTCACAGCCCACTAGTAAGCGAACAATTATTCATCTGTTTTTGTTTTTTCTCATCCAGTGGTGGCCAACTTTGCTTGAATTTTGTGTTGTAAATGGTTGTTAAATTTAGCGTTTATTCTTGGGCATAAAAAATTGTGCCATTTCCACTAGTAAGCACCTACCGTCGTGAATCTGATAGTGCTACGTGAGTGCTGCAAATTTATGCACTGTGACGAGGAAACGGTGAAATTCTCAAAACGAAAGACCACAAGGCGACGTGCTGTTAAACAAGCTGCTACAACTTTCATAACACTCCTGAACGCTGCTCAAAATTCTACCTTCCAAAATTTGTACAACGATTTCTTGAATCGGGCCATGAGATAGCATTGCATGATCACTGTTGCAAACGCGGAATCTGACCCCTGTCTGATGGGGAAGGTCGCAGTGGTTCTGGTTCGGATCCACACAGACGAAGTGACGAAATCGATATCTTTGCTAGTTTGCTCTTCTACTTTTCTCAGCGACGTAATGAGAAAGGCTTATCAGCAGTTTTTGTAATGCTTCGTCTATAGTTAGTTGTGTGGTAAACTACATTTTTGTCGATACTGTCCGTGGTTGCTCATGTTGTCTGTAGCGTACGCTTCAGGAGCCATATCTATCTCTCCTCCAGGAGGGCGCGTCCGCCGCTGATCCTATCCTATATTTGGGGAGACAGCTTAGGATGGAATCAGCAGCGGGATGCGCGGAGAGCACCTCAGTATTGATTGAGGGCATTGAGGGCTTTTGTGATTTCTGTGACTAGTCGCGCGAGGGATCGCGGACTTTGACACCAGACCAACTTTTCTTCCTATAAGGAGTTGCGTTAGTTGTACTCAGAGGGTCGAAGTATCAGGTTAGCTCGGCCAAATCTGAGATTTCGAGTCTACCTAGAAAGGTGGGTCAGTTTAACATCATCAATCCATTTTCGAAGCCCAAGTAGCGAGAAGCTAGACAATATCCACCTGGATTTGTGGAAATTACCTGGCTTATGTGTTTGTATCACTTGCATAATTTACATGGCGGGTATAGCCTTTGGGCAACAATCTCACCTCGAATTGGTGGTATAACGGTGATACCAGTAATGAAGGCGTTGAAAGGACGTGTCTGGACGAGTTTTTGAACCCAATCACATGCGATTAAGTTACCATATCTATCTGCCTATCGGCTACCTTATCGGCAACGTTGTGATTCACGTTGCGTGTGGGTAAACGCGAGGTATCTCGTCCGTGTTCACGTTAATCGCGCCATGCAGCTTCACTTTGGCACAGGCCGCTAAAACCTTGGTCGCGCTTTTTTGAGCTGCGCCAACACCACATCTTTATTGATCGAGGTCTGTCCTTTTCACGGAACAAATTCTTCGACACCGTTTCATCTGGAGCAGAGTCAACCGTGCGTTTGCGCAGTTCTCAACGGCCACGTTGCGCAGTTTCGCCCGATTAGACACGTTCTCTCGCGCGAACATTCACACTCGCATGCTCGAGCCGTCTGTGCGTCTCCGCCCATACAGCGTGCGTTGAGGATCTCTCAACGTGCCGTTGCGAACTGCGCAACGCACAAACGGTTTTACTGATAAATGGGTTGTTGGCTTTGAGTGACTATTTAAGTGGTATGACTAAATAATAAAGACACGCGACTATTACATAGTTTGCCAAAAGTATTAGGTCGCAACGAAAGTCCTGGCGCATTTCTTCAAAGTCCTCACAAACGGCTGCGCATTAACCTGGAGGGGAAATTTTTTAACCATATACAGGAGTGGTGATATTCCTTCATATTCTCGAGTCTCACCTCCTGCACGCTTTTTGGAGCCTGGAAAATGCCATACGTTTCTACCCATGTACCCCACTGACTTCTTTGCGAATTTTGTCTGGGCCCCACAGCGAGCGAAGCCTGCCGCAAAATATGCTCTGTAGAAGTAGAGGGAGTGGTAAGTGAAAAAACCTGCCAACTTTGGTTCAGAAGGTTCCGCGAAGGAAACTACAACCTCGAAGATGGACGCCCAACGGAAGTCAATTTCGAACGTTTGGAGCTGTTACTTCAAGACTTTCCGCATGCAAGCGCCAAGGAGCTGGCAAAGGAGATGCAGTGCTTCAACATGGCCACAGGTCGTGTTCACCACAAGCTGGAAAAAGTTAAGAAACTTGGTCGATTGATCCCTCATGAGCTGACAGAGCATTGCAAGGAAAGAGGTATCGGGGTGTGCAGAGGTTTTCTTGCAAGAACTTGCCGTTTCGACTGGCTGGATAATGTAATTACTGGAGATGAAAGGTGGGAGCTCTACGTCCGTCATGCCAGAGAAAGACAGTGGATGGGTGCGAATCAGAAGCCAGAGCCTGTTCCAAAGCAGGAGGTTCATCCCAAGAAAGTTCCTCTGTCAGTTTGGTGGAGTGTTCGGGGAACACATCATTACGAGATGCCAGACAATACCACCGTCGACGCTGAGGTGTACTGCTCACAACCACGAAGGCTCGCGGCTGAATTCGCGAAACGTCGCCCGAAGCTGGACGAAGTCCCTCTTCTTCATGACAACGCGCGACCACATGCTGGAAGGGTAACCCAGGACACATTGGCGGAACTTGGATCTGCGGTTTTACCCCATCCTCCATATTCGCCAGGTCTTGCGCCTACGGATTACCACCCGCTCCTTTTCCTGGCTCACTTCGCAAAGGGTAAAAAGTACGACAACTGTCAACAGTTGAAAGCGGACATGGGCACTTCTTCGACTCGAAACCTGCCGAATTTTGAAGGTGGGGCACTTGTTCCCTTGTAGACCGATGGCGGCCTGTTGTAGGTACTTGTGGGAATTATTATTCGGAATAAAGTTCAATTCAAAGAAAAATATGAGCTTTTGAAATCGAGGGTCGAATCCGCCATTACTTTCGTTGCGACCTAATAGTTTAACGTCATTTGGGTTTTTACGTTCAAGCTTAATCCTGCTATTTTCGATTAGTCGGATTAGCATTAGTGACGTCCGCTCGTGCGGGTCAAGAGGAAATTATCTTACGTATGCCCCGGGTTGAAGCACCAAGCTATCATTCTTGGTGGATTGTTAGTTTTAGTAAAAATATATTGGATGTGTACCCCAAGCCAAGGAATCGTTCAGCGGATCGGAACATAAATGGCTCGCAAACTAGGTCGCATATTGTAGTGTAGGGGGTTAGCGGCATCCTAACAATATGGGTCTTTCACTCGAAGGACATCCCTCTACCGTGTATTGAAGCGGTTTCAACTACTTCATCCATGCGTATGACGCGCATTAGGGGCTTCATATATTACAGCTGCTCAATCCATGAGTTGCAAGATACTGGCGGTAGTGCTCAGCATTAGACGAAACAACAAACAGCTGTTGGGGTATTAGTGGAATGCTTTCTCGATACTCCGTCCACAGATGCTGCGTTCTGTATAGAAGGGTCTATAAAAAAAGAATGGATATTAACGGCCCGTGAGCATTTCTTTCTAAACGTTCGGCAGAGCCAAATAATGTCTATCTATTCTTTCTCGCAGTTTCTCTAATCTCTCTTTACTGTTCGGCACATTCCGCTGATTTTTTATATTTCCTAATTCACTGTTTCGGTTTGGTGTACCGTTAGTGGAGCTCGAGGTGTACACCTCCAGAGCATGATTTCCTCAGGTTCCTTGGAAAGAATATTGAGCAAATGTATTACATTATTAAATATTAAGACAGCGTTGTTACAGAAGGAGTGCCTGACGGTGATGACATCGATGGACATCCATTCAATGAAGAAGATCTTATTCCAAGTGTATGCCATATTTATTTCCATAAATTATATTAATCTAGTTA